GTGTCATTTCGAGAGTTAAAGGAGGAAAGTCCGCCTATAACGAGGTAGACAATAAGAAGACCTTCTTAGGAGGGTAGGGCCCCCCCCCATAAAATTGGGTAAAACTTAGGGGGGGGTGGACCCCCCCCCCACTAAGGCATGTGGTGGCCACCCCCCAGCAGTTGGGGGGTAGGAATAGCCTCCAGAGAGCCGATTTTCCCCCAAAGTTGAGAAATCGTGGCGAAAAGTCCAATATCTTGGAGAATTTGACCAGTCTCAAGGCTCATGTGGCTCCAAGGGATGATTTTCCCCTAGAAAATGCTGCGAAATGAGGTGTAAAATTAAGGCCCCGGAGGGCCTGACCAAGAGTCTCTGGGGGGTCCTGGTCCATGACCCCCCCCCAGCATGTGGTGGAGGCGCTGGGGGGGTCGGGACCCCCCCCCCTAGCATGTGGTGAAGGTGCTGGGGGGGGGTCGGACCCCCCCCCTAGCATGTGGTGTGGAGAGAAGCGCGCCCCCCTCCCTGGAAGCGATGTGCGCCTGGGCCTGCTCCCTCGCGCCGTCGCCATCGGCGCCACTGGCAGAGATGCGCTAGCATGTGCATGATGTGGGATGTGCATATGTGTGTGTACTCCAGTAGTACACTGTACAAACTGTGACGTGTGTTTGTGCGCGCGCGCGGTTTTCGGATCGCGAGATTTTCTGGACTCTGCTCACAGGTCTCTGCACTCTGGCCTCTCTGGGGGCACTCACTTTCCTTACGGCTCTATAGTCTATTTCTACGTTTACGTTGCCCAGACTTCCCGTGTCCCCCGCCTCCCCTCCCTCACGACACTCACGTCTGACCGGGACCGAGTCCATTGCGACTCTCCGCACGCATAAAGCCGTATATCCTCGTCGTGATGCGATGGGGACGCCGCGCGGTGCGGTAGCTGATCCAGCTGGCCGCCAATCCACGGCCCGCGCCACTCTGACTCCCCGCGACACAACGCGCGCCCGACTCTATATGTTAGTAGGCTCAGGCTGGCCCCGCCGCCGCCACAGCCCCGGCGTCGGCGTCGCACGCCGGCGCGCCATCGCGGTCTGGGTCGGACCCCCACGGCACCTATTGCTCGT